GGGGGCTTCACTATTCATCTGTCTGTTGTTACAGGATGCATAGATAAAGTGAGAAGAGAAAGCAGAAATATTACCCCCTTTCCAGATGACAAGCTAAGGTGGAACTGTAGTCATGAACAGGAACTCTGACTCAGTAAGTTTCTCCTCCGCAGCCTTGCTCATTATTGACTGCCTTTTGCTTGGGTTGGGCCAGGATGGCACTGCCACCTTCTATGTAGAGAACAGCCCAGGGAGAGTGAGAGTGGCAGCTCTGGCAGATCTTGCCTGTGGTGCCATGTGTGTGGGATGCAAGTTAAATATCTTTCTTCATACTTGGAAGAAATACAGAGTATCACGAAAGTGATTCGATTTGTATTTTGCAGAAGCCTTTTCTACTGATTCAGATGCTTGAATTGGCCTGCCTTTATTCCCTCTCACTGTTTCTTCCTTCCTTATTATTTAATAATGTTCATCATGGGGGGCGGGGTGTAGCTTAGTGGTAGAGCACTAAGAATGCCCAGAATGTATAAGGCACTGGATTTGGTTCCAGTATCATCAGTCAATCAAATTTACCATGGAGATTCTTAGAGTATTAAAGTGTTTTTGACAATAACAAAAAGAAAGATTCTGTTCTTTTAATCATGTCTGTACTATTTCTACTTTTTATAAGTAGCAATTTGATGGGTATTCAGGGATGTGTGGTGTGTGAGGATGTGGCAGGGGAAGAAAATGTATGGATTCCTGTGTGGATGCTGCTGCCAGGTCTCCAATATTGTTAATGTTATCTTTGACAATCTTAATAAACTTGGGAAATATTCCACATATTTCCTATTTTTCTTGAATGAGCTGATTCAATTAGGAACAGACAATGAATCCAAACCAATACAGCCATATTCAGTCCAGTAAGGGGAATTGGACATGGCTACTGAGACATGTAAATGGCAATACTCTAAAGAAATCTGTGAGGCTGAATCAGGAGGACTATGAGTTCAAAGCCCACCTAGGGTATATATAGACACACACACAAACATCTTGATGTTGCCCTTCTTTCCTTTTCTACATCTCGATTATCTAACATTGGCCATCAGCTCATTATGTCAGTATTTATCCAAATAAGTGATTTTATATTTGAACCTTTTGTTCACATTAACCAAAGGGACTCTTCATAACGTGCAACCTAAAAGCCTTAATGCATGTATATATGCACACACATTTAACATCCCAAAATGATATATAGAATTCATTATTATGTCATTTCTCCCTTTTTCTATTATACCACATATCATAGGCATCATCAAAAACATAATACACAACAAATATTACCCTGTTCTTTTCAGGGAGTACATAGCATTTTGTATTTGCATTGTACCCTAGATGGAGAAGGCCAGTTACAGAATCCTTCTGTCTATAGTCCCCAGCCCCTGGGAACTTGGCAAAAATGAAGAAATCCTTTAAAGACTGATTTCAGAGAGTTGTGGTCTTCAGGGGCAATGACCTTGGTCTAATATAAATGTGTTTGTCTTCTGTGCTCCCAAGAGACCCAGGGCTCAACTTCCTTCCTTGCTCCAAGGCAGGAAAAGTGTGACATTCTATGGAGCAGAGAAGTCACTTTTAAGTGACTCAGAAGGGGCCTGGCATGCCGGTGGCTTTTTCAACACTGACTCACAGGCTGCTGCAATACCCAGACATGAGCTAAAAGGGAGAGGATAAGTGTAACTAAACCCATCTACATACACAGAGACCTAACCTGCAGAGACAGGGTGACACCCCAGTCTAAATAACCCAAACCCTGCCAACCAAACTGAGGGGCAGATGAAGAACTGATCAGAAAACACTCATTAAGGAAATGAAGGTAAGCGCTCCCTTTCACATTTTCTGAACATTTGTACAATTCAATAGATAAATCAAAAGAGATTTATAAATGGCACAGTGAGTCACATTGAAAAGTCATCTAAAACAGAAGATAAAAAGTGAGAGGGGAACCATTAGAGAAGGGGTGAGAGACTTGGAAGGTGCACCAAGGACACATAACTAGTAAATCAAAGGAGTTCTGGAGGAGCAAAAGGAACAGATGGAGAAGAGGCAATAATTAAACAAATTAGAACATCTCCCTGCCATGAAGAAACAATGAGTCTGCAAACTGAAAGGGCTCACTAACTTCAGGAATGATTGATGAAAAAATGTACACACGAAGGCATTTTTTTGCTAAAATTTATGAATTCTAAGGATAAAGAGAAAAGCCTACATGATTTTGAAGTGAATAAATGAAATCTGCATGCAAAACAAAAAATTATTGGCCAAGTAGATGACTAAAAACAGCCTATGAGGCCTATCCTCACTAACATCTTATTCTCTTGACTAAGTAGGCAAAGGTGTTCATGAACATTCCTAAATTCAGGGTGGTGGTGGTGGTGGTGTTGGTGGTGTGTGTGTGTGTGTGTGTGTGTGTGTGTGTGTGTGTGTGTGTGTATGTATGTATGTATGTATGTGTATGTGCATGTGTGCCTGTGTGTATATGTATGTATGTGTGTCTGTGAATGTATGTGCATATGTGTATATGTGTGTGTGCGTTCATTCCTGCAAATTATAGGGCAGTAGAGCTGAGCATCCATGTGCATTTAATCACCTAAGGATCTTATTAAAATGTGGAAGTCAACAGTTCAGGATGGAGATCAGAGGCTGCATTTGGAAAAAAATCCCAGGTGGTACCCAAGCTGCTGATTTATGAGACACAGTCATAGCATCTCAGGACCAGTGGTTCTCAACTTTCCCAATGCTGTGACACTTTAATACAGTCCCTCATGTGGTGGTGACCACAACGACGAAATTATTTTTGATGCTACTTCACAACTGTAATTTTGCTACTGTTAAGAATCATAATATAAATCTGATATGTGACCCCCAAAGGGATCACAACCCACAGATTGAGAACCATTGCTCAGGACACTCTTGGGATGTGAGCCTTGGTTCTCCTTCTTCCTGACTCAGTGAACTTGGTCTTTTGCTTTGCTATGCTTTGGTTTTTATCTGTAGTATGGAGAAAATAATGGTGGTGCCTCACAGAATTGTAAATACTAAATGAATTGATAATTGTCATTTTCTTCAGCTGTGCCTGGCACACGGTAACCGTCACATAAACTGTCTTGCTTGATAAATCAGGTGTGGAATTTTACATGGTTTTTGGATCTCTGAAAACTTCTATGTGATATGGGTATTAGGTAAGGGCTTTGAGAACAGAGAAGCAGGCTGAAGAGACCACTTTATTCCAGTTACTTAAAGTATGAAGTGATCTTAGCAAGTCTAGATACTGGGATGTGGGGAGGGCTGAGTGACTTCTGCTGCCAGGGTCTCATCTGGGAGAGATGGAGGAGAGAGGAAAAAATGTATGTAGAACTATTTCAGAGTTTATCTTGTGGAAATAATTGCTAGCTTATTTTCAGGCTGTGAGGAAAATGTCTTCTGAGCATAGGAGTATAAAATGTATCTGCTGACAGAATATAAAGGAATGCTAGAATTTCCAAATTAGCATGAGAAAATAAAACGGACTGATACAGAAAATTTATCAAACCAGTCAGAAAAGGCAGAGAAAAAAACTGAGTATAATCTTAAGAGTCTTGCAAAGAAAGGATATATGATAGGTAGAGTATTAGTTAGGGGGGTGGTAGAGGAGCAGGGGAGGGAGTGGGAACTGGGATTGACATGTAAAACAATCTTGTTTCTAATTCAAATGAAAATATAAAGTATTAAAAAAGAATCTTGCAAGAAATCTAGTGAGTTAAAAAATATAACCCAGGAGTATGGGAGTCCTTCTCAAAAAAAAAAAAAAAAATGGCTGTGCGGTGGTGGTGCACAGCTTTAATCCCAGCACTCTGGAGGGACAGAGGCAGGCAGATCTTTGTGAGTTTGAGGTCAGCCTGGTCTACAGAACGAGTTCCAGACAGGTTCCAAAGCTACAGAGAAACCCTGCCTTGAAAAAACAACAACAAAAAATGATGAGTACATGAGTGTGTTTTTGTGTGGGTATGTGGCCATGTGAGTACATGTGCCCACGGATTTCAGAAAAGGATGTCAGATTCCCCAGGATTTGAAGTTAAAGGAAGATGTGGGTCACTGAATGTGGGTCCTTGGCAACAGAGCACTAAGACATTTTCCCAGCCCCAAGGGAGGTCATCTAGACGGATAAACCAGACATGAGCCTCTTCATAGAATTAGCTGAATATATAAAAATGGCAAATTTGGAAAATATCCACAATACGTGACTATGAGACAGATTAGTTAACTAGTCCCCAAATTATGACTTTCCCTCAAGGGAAACATCTTGTTCTCCACCATAGCTTTGCACATTTATTAACGTAGAATTGATAGTCAATAAAAATGAATAGTATTGTCATTTAGCCACATGTGTAATATCCATGAAACCACCACTGTAATCAACGTAAAAATGTAACTGACATCCCCAAAGTCTCTCTTTACTTTGTTTAGAAAAAATTATTGTTATTTGTTTTTTTTGTTATTTGGTTTTTGTAACAAGGTTTTTCTATGTAACTCTGACTAGTCTCAAGCTTCCAGGAATCCTCCTGCCTCAGTCTCCCAAGTTTAAGAGTGATGGCATTACAGGTCAGTACAGCCATACCTACCTTTCCAAAGGTTTGATCTCTCTGTTTCATAGCATCACCATGAGGTCATGCTTAGACTAATTTCTAAACCTTCTTGAATACCTGGGTGCTGCCCAGAAGGATGTGAGAAGAAGCAAGAGGATTCCTCCAAGCTTGGCCTAAAAGGTTCTCTCAAGTATGAGAACTCACTCTCCCAGTCAGTGCTAGCTGCATGTTGCTAGGCAAGATGGAGTGTAGCTCAGTTGGTAGAGTGCTTGCCTAGCATGAATAAGGCCGTGGGTTTGGTCCCTAACACTACATAAACCTAGTGTGATGATGCATGTCTATAATTCCAGAATTTGGGAAGTAGAGACAGGAGGATCAGAAGTTCAAGCTTATCTTTAGCTACACAGCAATTTTGAGGTTGGCCCGGGCTACATGAGATATGTCTCAAAGATGAAACAAAACTGGGAAAGTCTATCCACTCAAGTGAACTCTTTAAGGAAACTTTAGATCTTCCCTGAAATCGGAGACATGGAGAAACTGAATCTTCTGCTGGCCTTGAAGAAATTAAGCCCTCTGTGGCCTTCAGCCACAAGAAAATGCATGCTGCCAAGAATTAAACCACGTAAGAGGTCCCCAAGTTTGAATAAGACTGCAGTCCTAGTGAAACAGGGGCCAAGAATCAGCTAAGCTAGATCCCCAAGCTGAAGAAGTTTGAGGTAACAACTGCAGAATTTTAGAAGTCCCTGAATATGATGACTTCTTACACAACAGATAATTAATACAGAGGTGAAGAAACAGAACAGAAGAATGGTTAAGAAGGAAGAGAAAAGTTACTGGCCTAAAAAGTAAGAGGAAAAAAACCTTCAGTAAAAGAAAAATAATAAAAATAATATTGATTATATTTACAGTCCCTTAAAATTGTAGATTTATGTAAGAAGTCACAAGGAACAGTTGTGAAGTGAAGAAGCAATTGATCTGCATGGTACTGAGTTTGGAAGCATGTGGAGGGAGCTGTGCATTAGAGAATTTGTGCTGGAAGGTTCCAGGAGGAAAGGGTTGTAAGGTGGGCCACGTGTTACACATGGGATTCCCTTGCTGTGTATTTGGAGGTTTCAGTGGACATTTTCATTGTATTCAATGATTTGGGGACATCCATGGTATTTCTTTTGGGACTAAAACAGTGCTAAGGCTCAAGGAGATAGCTTTTCTTTTTTTAGACAGTGCTTCCTAAACCCCTTCCCCCCTCCCCTTTTCCAAAACCCTCCAGAAGGTCCACTCTCAGCTAAGCCTCCAGAGTTCCCTCCTGTAACCTAACCCACCTGTACACAGGGCTTTTCCCATTCAAACATTAGAATCACAATACAGACTTTAAAGGTGTGTGTGTGTGTGTATGTGTGTGTGTGATGTTAGTGTATCAGGAGGATAGACTCTTCCTATGAGTAAAATCACTCATCCACAGATATGCACATTAAATTTTCATTCCAATATTGCATCTTTAAACTTGACCAAGAGTTATATACTCATAACATTTTGTGATATATACCAGGCATTAGTAATGTTTCTCTGAATTACCTGTTCAGCCTTCTTATCTGAAATGATTATTGATATTAAAGGTAGGCCATCTTCTGTGGGGATGAGAATTATGAAAACCCTCCCCTCCCGAAATACTATTGTAAAATAACGAAGGACTGAGTATGTACCACCTAAGCTATTCTGTCAAACTCAGAAAGCTGGGTTGGAGAAACAATTTTTGTCAGTAAAACAGAAAGTTTCTATCTACTAAGGTATGCAGTGTAACACAAATCACTGAAATCCTAAGATTAGTTCTCATTCATTTAAATATGTGAAAGTAGCAATTAGGGCTTGGAAAGATGGATCTGTGGTTAGGAACACTATCTACTCTCCCAGAGGACCTGGCTTCATTTCCTAGTACTCACATGGAAGCTTCAACTGTGTTTTCTATAGGATCTGATGCCCTATTCTATGGCCTGCAAGTACCAGGCATGTAGGTGGTGATGCACTCACATATGTGCAGGCAAAACACCCATACACACAAAATAATGAGTAAATCCTTCTTTGTTTTCAGGGCTTGCTACAGTTGTTTGCATTGATACAGTGTTTCCTTTATTCCTCTAAAACCTTTGTCAAATTAATATTATTTACCTGCTTCATCCCTCTCCATCCCTCCCTTTCTTCCCCCCTCTCTCTCCAGCATCTTATGCTATAGTCCATGCTATCCTGAAATCTACTA